AGTACCTCTGTCTGTTCTTGACTCAAAGAAAAACCGAAGTTTGCGTAGTCCGAAGTTGGCGCCAAAGCCATTTTGAGAAATTTGGAAACTTCACAAGAGTAAAGCTGAAGTCAGAGTCGATCCTGTCAAGCCACGCCTGAACCACACAAAACAGCATGATTCATGTTTACTTGTCCTCCTGACATGTCCGTGCCTCATTTTTCCAATTTCACAATGTTTTTCTAATCAAGTCTCTCTGCTTCATCAGTCATTCAAGCCACCTGAACCACACCTAATTACTTCCATGTATCACCTGGGTGCTGCACTTTTTAACATGCATGTTTAACCCTAACGCCCCCAATTGAGGGCTTTTACAGTTTCATGTCCCAAACATCTACAACGGTCCACATTCTCCAAACACAACAAAAACCACAATCAAACAGCCCAGATGGGAAACAAGGCCATTTTAAATTGTAATCAATTAAGATACAATGATATTTGAACTTTAGTTTAGAAGAGCATCTGACCTTCTCTGGTGTCTGCTGGAAAAAAATGACCTTGACCAAATGTAGTTGAGGAACCCTGGAATAAATAAAACAATTGACTAAATTTCCTAAATGGAATTTGAACTTACAACCTCCATCCTGTCAGCACGTTCACACAGGGCAGCTCTTCTAAAATAAAGTTTTATTTAAAGTATTATTTTATCTTGATGTATCAAAAACGGCTTTGTTTACAATCTAAACTGGTTTGATTGTAGCTGTAGCTGTGCTCGGGGAACGCAAACCATCACCGACACTTGGGACATGAAACTCCAAAGGCCCCCAATTGGGAGGCGCTAGGGCCCAAAGAAAAAAGGCCTAGGGCCTAAAGGGTTAAATGCTTCAATTCAATTCAGTTTATTTAAATAGTGCCAAATCACGACAAGAGTCTTCTCAAGGCACTTGGTTCTCAGTTCACAGTCACCGCCTCCTTCATCAGCCCTTTGCCTGCATTCTTTTCCCAGATCTCATTTTTGATTCCAAGTTCCCGACAAAGATCAAGGCCAGGGTATTCCTGCCTTGCCCCTGATGGAAATTGCAGCCCTTCTGATAAGGGACTGCTCTGAATTACCACTGCATCCCACTGCTGAGCATATCCACTTGACCTTACTTGTATAGTGACCACACAATATGATTTGGGACTCGGATTGGGTGCCCATTTGTGCTTGGAGTGTTATCACGGTCTGTGAGGCATTACACTGAACCCCACCTTCACTGACATCACCACAGTCCACAGACATCTACCAGCACATTTTAGAGATCTTTGAGCTTCAGCTTCATGGAGACGCCGATTTGATTTTCCAGCAGAACTAGTTGGCACCTGTCCACGCTGCCAAAGGTGCCATATTGGTTCAATGACCCTGGTCTGACCTGAGCTTTTGTTGCTAAATACAGATGTTTTCATAGGTCCTGCTAAAACAGTAACATCAATAGAGCTAAAACCGCCTTCTAAACTGGAGTGAGCCCAAATCCTCAAAAGTCTAAACCCGACACTTCAGAGTAAAGCTGTTTATGAGGCACCAGCTGGTTTTACCCGGTGTGATTACAGTGTAGCACGTGGCGATGAAACCAACACACCCAAAAGGAGTCACACACATAAGCCCGCCCTGGGGCATCGTCCTCTTGCACACGGCGTTGCAGAGAGGAACATGTTACTCATTAGTGAAAAGAGTTCCAGGTGTCAGAGGGCTGGACCAAGTGATGCAATTACACCTTTTAGCTCTGAAAAATATGCATGGAGTGCATGTGACATGAGACATATGCACAAATGATTTTTTTTCTTTTAAAGAATGACTTTAGAGGCACATTGACACGAGCAAGCCATTCCACTTTGTCTAAAACCTCTAGCCCTAGGTGTGTTTCCAGTGTTCAAACTTCGGGGTAATTTGTGGGAGGAAGAAATTGACAGAGAGATACGATGGCATGGTCCTCTCCACTATAAGCTCCACTCAGCTACTCTGCCAAGCTTTTCCAAGTACCTTCCCATGTTTAGGTACTCTAAAAGTTCCTGAAATTGTCCCGTTTGGCCGCCACAGTAGATTTACCCCAAAGTTCTAATACTGGAAACATGTCTAATGTTTCCACTAGATACGCTCTAGGCAATTTCTGGGAGGAAGGAAGGTGACAGAGAAAATACGATGGTTTGGTTGTGTCTCCATAAATCTGTGCTTTTGGCAAAGGTGTCAGAATTACCATCACCATTTTGGAAATGACTTGCATCACTTATCAGTGCCCCGTGAAACTTTTCATGGAGGTCTAGGTGGGTATGTGTACAGCACGCACACATTCACATGCCTTGATTAAAGAAGAGGAATCTATGGTTTTAGTGAACACGAACAAAACGTATTAAAGCGGATGTCTTCCTGGGGGGGCAGCAATTTTCCAGGGGGGCCTTGGCCACCCCCTGGCCACCACTACACTGATTAGGGCTAAAAGATGTCCACAACCAATAATAACATTAAAAGTTTTTTTTTCTGTCAAAGTGATTGGATCCATTCAGGGTACAGGGAGAGCAGCTGTGTGATGTAAAAGCGATGTGCTGTAGGAGACCACAAAACAGCATAAATTACGACGTAACGGGGGGTTTCTGACACGTTTTCAGCATTGGGAGATTAGGAATGTTGATTTTAAAGAGGTGTGTACTTTGCTAATGCTCGTTTCAATTAATTCTGGGTTGTCAGCAACTCATACAATTCTGTAAACACCAGCTGTTTGGGGCCATCTGCCGATGTCATTTCCTACTGAGTTACAGCCAAGAAGCATGAGCTAAACACAAGTCCTGACCAGCAACTCTACAGAGTCTTTTCCAAGTACATAGCCCAGTTCAGGTGCTCAAAGGTCTGGGATAATTACCCCAATATGGGAAAAAGGTGTTATGCTGAAACAATATTACCATAGAGATGATCTAGAGTTAGGGTTTACCGCTTTATTCATAACATTTTCCACCTATTATCAACATAACAAACAAACATGTTCATTAAACTTATTCTGTCTCGCGTTCAGCTTGCAGCTGAAGAAACAGTGCCGGTCCAACCAGACTCCTTTATGCTTTTGTCTCTGTGTGACTTGCTTGGCCAAAGCAACCCAAACATCACCATAATTATGGATCCGTTTATGACCTCTTACACATAAACGCCACCTTTTGTCTGTTAATGATCAACGGAGACTGACCCAGATACACCCGGCGTTAGAGAACATATATGCTATTTGTATAATTAGTCAACATTTTAAGATAAAAATACAAGATAAAAATAAAAACAAGAAAATTGAATCAAGTGGTTCTCTCGCATTTGTCTAAAAACCTTCACCAATAACACGTTTCAAGCCAAAAGCAACCATTGGACCATCTGGTTGTTGCCACACTTCCCTGGGTCGTCCATTAATTATGAACTTGTATTTTTAGCAACAGAACACAGCCGATGTGAGAGGTTCTCCGCTCAGTAATATCAGAGAAGGAGAAACAGCCAGCTGCTACCACTTCAACTTTAGGACAAACTGCCAGAGTCCCAAAAAGTAAAACACCACTTGAAGGCAAGGACTACAAAAGACGTTTGGACCTAGGAAACGGTGACTAGTGTGCTCTCTTTTCCTTTGGCAACGCCGAGCGGGGTGAGTGTTCGGTGATCATATTAGCGTTCAAAACCTAGCTTGTTCTGTAGATTCACTATAGCAGCTTTAATTTCTACATGAACTGATTTTCTCTTCAACTCTGTTTCATGAGAACCTAAGGCAAAGATGTAAGTAAATCTTTAAGTAAAAAATAAATAAAACATACATTTGTTTGCATGTGTAGAGCCTTCGTTGTGGTATTCCTTAATCTTCCTGAAACCTGTTCTGACCCAGAACCTGATTTTTATGACATCACCTCAAACTTTATAACCTGCTCGGCAGCCTCGCCTCTGTCAGTGCGCCCCAGGGCAGCTGTGGCTACATTGTAGCTCATCCCCACCAGTGTGTGAATGTGTGTGTGAATGGGTGAATGACTGATTGTGTTGTAAAGCGCCTTGGGGGGTTCTAGGACTCTAGAAGGCGCTATATCAAATACAGGCTATTTACCATTTACTCCAGATTCTAAGAATTCCTAATTCATCCGACCCGATGAAGCTGAACGTGAAGGGCAGCAAAAGATTTTAAAGGCATGATCTGAATGGAGTCATTGTGCTCGTAGAGAGAGCTACAGGTGAAACTTCAAATCTGGTGCAAAAGAGCATTAATGTCCGTAATCTAGCTTAGACTGGGAGACCATCTAAAGGCTCAGGAACCCTCTGCAGGTGTTCTGGATTCATTACCTGATTAGCGTCTCGAATATTGAACCTTTCCACAATATTCTAATAGTCTGATACGTTGTGGGGTTTTTATAAGCTGTAAGCCATAATCATAATAATAAATAATAATAATACATTAAATTTCAGGCGCCTTTCAAACACCCAAGGTGCGATTCAAATTCACAGTAAAAACAACAATAAGACACAATAAAACCAAGAAATTCAAACAACCACAATCATCACAATTATAGCTAATAAAGGCTTTAAATGTCATTAGTCTCACCTTTTAAGTTGAATTACTGACACAAATTATTTTTTGCACCAGGCAGTAATTTTTACAATTTCATCTAATGTTCAAAATAGACAATTGTTGAAATGTCAAAGTTTAAATGGGGGAAGTTCAAATTCTGCTTAAACATAGGCAGATTATTTCCTCTATAAATGTCTATTTGTAGGCATTGATTTGATTGTGTCAAACCTCTTAGGAGGTGTTCTGATCAAATCGATGATGAGGAGTAGCAGCTCTACTCTCTCCTGGATGTCTGATCTCTACATGTTTAAATCGTTTCTCACAATATTTCTCTTTAGATGCAGAATTATCTGATGATTGTGCATCACTGTGGGAGACACCTTGTAAGTTTAATTCGTTTCAAGAACACTAGAGAAGAGCTGTGGCTGCAGTAAAAAAAATAAATCATGTATAGAGTGTACTCACACAGGAAGATGAGACTCAGATACTTATTCATGATGATCATCTGGATCGTTCCACCTGTAGACACCCGACTGTCTCTCTGGCTGCAACAAACACAAAGTAGTTCAGCGTTAGGAAGAAATCAACAGAAATCTTACAGCATGCTACTGTTTTTGCCGGAATAACTGAAACGACGGCTGCAGGCTTGGATGGTCTTTCGGTACGAATATAAAATAGAATAAAGATGTCATTGAAATTGTTTATTTGCTTTTATTCTGGACCACTTTCACTGAAGCCATTTTTCATATTTGCAAATCATTTCTAGAGCCAGTATGTGCTAAAATGACTCTTTACAGGGTTAATGAAATGTCACTCAGACCCCACCACCTCCAGAGTGTCACACTTGCAACTTCAGAGTGCCGGTCTGTTCTGTTGGACTCAGAAAAAGTGGAGCTGACATGTCTGGTGCTGCAGTCTGCTTCCAGCATGTTTTAGCTCATGAACACAGCTGATTAGTTTGATTTAGAGATGAACCGCGCCTGTAGACGCTAATGAAGGCGGAGAAGACGTTTCAACTGTTAAGATTAAAGCATGTGTGTCAGACACAAGGCCCGCGAGAGATTCAAGTGTCTTAAAATAAGTCTATGCGGCTTCAAAGCACACATTGACGACAAACTACATTTCCCATAATGCATGGTGATTTTGTTCCCAGTGCAGTGTATCCATTTGCATGTTTAATTAATGCAACAAGTGAAAATAACTCCACACATCATCCCAAAATGTCCAGGAAGAGAAAGATTGATGCAGAAGGAAGGGTGTTTAAACAAAGATGGAACATGTTGATGCTTCAAGGAGAAAAACCGGTATGTCTTTACAGTCATTAGCATCCATGCTACTAGCATCAGCGTCTGCAGCGTTACCTCCTCTGCCTCGAACAAACTGAAAACACTCCTCTTACTCAGCGCCACGTTTACTCAGCAACTAGCTGACTTTCAAGCTCAGAAATGGATTTTAACAGCTCAGTAATGTTTGCTGCTGACATATAAAGCGCACCGACCAACTTCCAGACCAAGATGATTTAACTCCAGTTTAGCGACACGCTCAAGTCAGTATGACTCTGTGGCTGCTGCGGCTTTTATCCCCCTCCCCGACACAACTCCGTGGTCCAGATGCTCTCCATGTCCAGCAGCACACACCTGTGTGAGCAACTGTTTCTCACTGATGAACTCCTTCCTCAGCTCAGAGCCCAACCCCACAGGTGCAGGTGTGGCTGGAACAGGTGAGCATCACAGGAAATCAGAGCGGAGAAAACTGGGATTGAATTATTGTGGTTTTATTAACCTTTTCTACTCCAAAGCATGAAAGTTAATAGGTGAGATATTGCATTTTTATTTATGAGAATTACTATTTTTATTTATGTTGTTGGCCTGTGAAAAAAGATGTCACCTACTTTAAAACAGGACAGATTACAGATAGAAGAATAGAATAGAAATAAAATAGAAAATCCCTTAATTGTCCCTCAGTGGGGAAAGCTTGGTGTCACAGCAGCAATATCATTCATTACAGGAGCAACAAAGGAAAGTAAAAAACAAAGAATAAACAAGAAAACCTAAAACAGAAAGACTTAAAAGATTCTAAAGATAAAAAATAAGAAGAAACGCCGAATATATGCAGATTTTAAGGAGTAAAATATTTTTTTAAATTGAGACATAAGTAACGACTACCACTAATGTGTGCTTTATTAAAAAATCCACTTGCTCGTGTGTAATTTGGTTATTCCACATTCAGTGTTACTGCAAAAATAAGTTTGTTTTCAAATGAAAAGGTTAAACCGTTCACATCTGCAGATAACGGAAAATGTGCACACTTGCCGTCACTTTAAAAAAATTATTGAGTTTGGCCTGCGACTTCATCCCAGTTTTTCATTTTGGCCCAGTGTGACTTTGAGTTCGACACCCCTGGATTAAAGTGTTGAAAAGACAAACGCACAGCGAGGAGACAAGATTCACTTTTGGTTCTGCTAAACGGACAGTAGGGGGTGCTAAATGCAAACTTTTTTATTATGGCTCAGATCTGCTCATTAACTCATTCACTGCCATTGACGACAAAAGTCGTCATTTTAAATCCAACTGTTCATTTGCATGTTTTTAGTGTGTGGGCGTCGGACGAGCCCCCGCACCGTGAGAACAAACATCTCAGCTCTAAAGCCGATCTTCATCCACATACGTCACATGTCACGTGATCAGGAAGCAGAACATCCATGTGTTAGGAGATCGTTTTGGGCCGCTGCTGTAAAAAAAAGTGAGGCGCGAACCGGAAAAGCTTCTGCCGATCAGAATTTGACAACGGATTATGAAAGAACGGATAACGCTCGAAACGCGCGGATTCTACCTGATGTAAGAGGTGAGTCTCCTCTTTGTTTTGGTTGTTTTGGTGTTTACATCATCCTAGCGCGCAACGTTCTGTGACTCTTAAACATACAGTAAAAACACAGAAAAATGGCGGCAGCGAAGGGCATTCTGATCAGGAAATGGCTGGCAGCGACAAGTTAATCTGGACAAACTACTGCAAATGTAGAAAATAAATAGTAACATAAGAAAAATTTTAATTCAAAAACTCTATGGCTTCACATAAAAAGTAGGCGTGGGAAATGTGACTAAGACATATAATTTTTTACAGCAATTTTATCACAATTATTTGCTCAATTTTTATTTTCTAAAAACATTAGTTACCAAGTAACGCACCCACACCGTTTCTCTGCTAAACACAGCATTAAAATAAACTAAAATTAGCTGCATTACGCTAACAGCTGCTAGCAACACTAACATATTACTACATGGTAACATGTTACCATGCTGGTGATTAACCTCATCATGGTGGAAGGCACCAACTCACTGTTGTGTCTACAGACTGAAGCTCTTCATCATCACAGAGTAAACACATCCTTAGCATTACTTGTTTTATTGTTATAAATGCACACAAAAGGTGATCAGGCTCAGAGTGTGCCACACTTAAAACGGTCCGGGCGGAAACGCTTCTCCGTTTTTCATCTTTCTATTAAACTTAATCCAACAATTCTCTAATCCTTCGGCTTTGGCAGATTTTAATCACCAACAAATACTTCATGATTCTTCATCACCATGCACCTCCACCCCCAGCGTATACATAGAACATGAGCATAAACCAGAGCAGCATGAATGCCGTCTGCAGTTTTTATGCATTAATCACAAAAACCATAAAAAACATAATTATGTTTTCTGTAAAACTTCATGAGCTGTTTGGAAGTTAAATTTAAGACATTTAACTGTTAGTTGCAGTTATGCAGTCAGACGGGGTAGATATTCAAAGCCACTCCTATTTGACCCCCATGACCTTTCTGCATGGTGCCCTCATCACAGTCTCAAACTTGTGTGCGTGCGTGCGTGCGTGCGTGCGTGCGTGCGTGTGTGTGTGTGTCATGGAGCCAGATTTCAACAGGCACCAGAACCTGACAGGTCATCAGAAAACTGTTCCTCCATAACCACAGACCCTAAGAAAAATCTGCTCCCATTGAATGTAGCAACGTTCCACTGGAGCTGGACGGCTGCTCTTTTAAAGCAGCTCCGTTATTAACCCTCTCTTTTGTTAAAGTTTAACAGCTACAGAGTTAAAACAGTTTACAGTTTAGCTACAGGTGACCTGAAACGGGCGGCAACTGCACAGGGTCACATTTTAATCTCCAACCTGCACCAAGAGAACACAATACAAAAAGGAACGCGGCGTTTAGCCGACACCGTTCAATAAATAACTGCTGAGATCAGAGCAACAAAGTGGGGCAGCTTGGTACTCACACAGACCACTGCATGTCCAGAAAGGTTCACTCTGCGCCTGGCTTCCCCCGCCGGCGTGCAGACTCCTGCGCACCAGTGCACATGTACGAGCTCCAGACCTGAACGTGGACATTTATGCGTGCATGAGCATGTGTGGCGAGTGTGTGCACAAGAATGAGCAGAACAAACTCCAGAGCGTAACTCATGGCAGCGATGTAAAAACAGAGGGAACACCAGCAGCCAATAGGAACACGAGAGAATGCACGGGACCCCTTCATTCCTCTCCTCCCTCTGCGTGGCCCTCCCTTGTTCCCTCCAGCTCGTCACTAGGGCACTGGGGTGAATGGGCAGCCATTCTTATTCTAATTTCTCTGTCCCTCTCTAGGCCAGTGCCTGAAAGAGGGGAACGGTCTCCAGGCTTTTGGAATGCACCACCCCTTTCTTCTGGACAGGGAGAGTTCAAGGCAGACGAGGTCAAAGGAATCAAAAAGAGGGAAACTTAAATGAAAAAGAGGAAGAGGAGGACAAATGTTGCCTAAAATAGTACAAGGGGGATATAAAGAGAAGTGACAGAAAATGTGACAGCGGAATAAAAGCAAATATCGCTGTTGAAATAAAAAGTTTGGTCATTTTGTGCAACTACGCCTAAAATCGTTAACATTTATTAATGATGATTAACTCATTCACTGCCATTCATTTGCATTGTTTTACTGTGTGGGGGTCGGACGAGCCCCCACACCGTGAGAACAAACATCTCAGCTCTGAAGCAGATCTTCATCCGCGTAAGTCACACGTCACGTGATCAGGAAGCAGAACATCCATGTGTTAGGAGATCGTTTTGGGCCGCTGCTGTAAAAAAAGTGAGGCGCGGACCGGAAAAGCTTCTGCCAATCACAATTCAACAACGGATTATGAAAGAACGGATAACGCTTGAAACGCGCGGATTCTTCCTGATGTCAGAGGTGAGTCCGCTTTGTTTTGGTAGTTTTGGCGTCAACATCATCCTAGCGCGCAACGTTCTGTGACTCTTAAAAAAAAACAGTAAAAATGGCGAGAAACGCTGACAGCGAATGAGTTAAACAGCTATCCTAAAAAGTCTTTGAACAATTTGCAAATTTAGAAGAAAACTGCATTTATTTCTAAATCTGCAAGAGCTCTTAAACATCTGTGATGATTTATATTTGTTAATATTTCTTCATTCTTTATGACGGAGCATGTTTGAGCTGCACTACAGTTATAAATGCTTCTTTAATATGCCGAGTCTCTGACCTCAACATTCATTTGCACCTTGACAGATGAGATGACTGGATTAGAAAAGATGCACGTTTGTGCCTGTGTGCATCATACTGTGATGGTCATGTGCATGCATGTGTGTGATTGAACCAACGACACAAAACCACGGGAGAACAACGCACATTCTGCTCTACGGTGATGTGACCTTGGACGTTAGCTAAAGCAGTAGATGGAGGGAGCTGCTGCTGCAGGATGTCCATTGTATTAAAGTTTCTACTTTATCAACAAGGCAGAAGCTCTGTGCAGAAATTATGACTTCCCAGAAAATCTGTTTATCTTTAAAACTCTGATTCACTTTTTATTTTATTTTTTTTCAATAAATCAGCTGCTGTCGACTCGCTAGTATGAATAAATACCTTGTGATTTTTCTGTGGGGCAAAAAGCCCTGGCTCTCCTGTTTCAGGAAGTAGAAGTTAGCTGGAGGAGGGTAGAGGGGCGTTCGTCAGGCTCAGTGGGTTAGTGGTAGAGTGCCCGCTCTGGGGGATCGGGGTTAAAATCCTGGTCGGGTCGTACCAAAGGCTTTAAAAATGGGACCCAACGCCTCCCTGCTTGACACTCAGCATTAGGGGTTGGATTGGGGGGTTAAAACATCAAATTGTTCCCGAGCGCAGCCACTGCTCAAGCCACAACCACTTGACTTTAAGCTCAGGTCGTCCAATCAAAATACGGGAAAAGCACATGTGATGTTACGTTCACGTTGTGTGTGACCCGGGGGGGATGGGAAGGGTGCTGACGGGGAAAATGTGCAACTGCAAAGATGTAACTGGTTGAGGATTCCTGGATTAAACTTTATAATTATTCTATGTTGACAGAAGGTTTTTGGAAAGTTTGTTGAAATGAAAGATGATCGTTTCTGTAGAAAACGTGAACGTCAGTGTGTGACCCTTTTTGTGTAACGTAAAACGAAAATCTAAAGCTGTGTCCTTGATTCGTATAAACTGATATTTCTAATTAGCAAGTTTTTGTTAGTTTATGTGGCTCTTGGAACACACACACACACACTCACACACATGCTCACACACACACGTACGTTTGTGTCATAGTGAGGCCCCTCTATTGATTTCCATTCATGTTTGAGACTCCACCATGCCTATTGCCTAACCCATACCCTAGCCAATGCTGATCTACTCCTAACCCTAACCTCAACTAAAACTTCATTCACACCAAACCTTCTAAACCAGCTGGTAAGCTTCCAAAAAAATGAGGACCAAAAAATGTCCTCACATTGTAGTGAAAATGGCCCTCAGTGGGTAATATGTACACACACACACACACACACACACACACACACACACACACACAGGGAAATCTAACTTCCAAGAAATTTTCAAGGTTGTGTTTACAGAAAAATTAAAAACATTTTAAATGTAATTGAAGAATTTCCAACCAGCTTCAGTAAGATGATTTTTTCAAATGGAAAAAGTGATTAGAAACAGAGTTGGATGGCAGCTATGTGTCAGTCTGAGACCTTGAGCAGATGCACTTACAGATCGCACCATTGTTGCAACAAGATAGAGGAAAAGCACCTCTGTACCTCCTGCATTTGCAGAGCGGTCAGACTAAACACTGTAATCTCAAGACTCCAGCCAAAACAAACCAAAGCTACCGTGTTCCTCAGAGCCATAACATTATAAACCTGGCTCTGGGTGTCTCTCTGTCCCAACACAAAACAAAGGGCCGGCCATTGTTGCTGCTGTATTTTCTGTCAACACACCACGGTCTGATAAATGGTTAGGGTAATGTAAAACAAGACTGGGCGGGAAATGGGATCAGATCATCCAGATGAGATCATAGTGGAAGTCTGGCCTCAGAATAAAGTCAGGTGATTCATTATTAACGCTGCTCTGATTGGCAATGCTAGCCTCTTAAACCTGAGGCGTGTGTGTGTGTGTGTGTGTGTGTGTGTGTGTGTGTGTGTGTGTGTGTGTGTGTGTGTGTGTGTGTGTGTGTGTGTGTGTGTGTGTGTGTGTGTGTGTGTGTGTGTGTGTGTGTGTGTGTGTGTGTGTGTGTGTGTACAGGTTGCTAAAGAGCCAGTTCACAGGGCAAGATTTTTAAACTGTTGGATGATTTTCAAACGGGGTGATTAAAAGTCGCGGATGTATCTGCTTTGGTCATACTGTGCGGGTTACATAGACAGGCTTCACACACATACGTTCCCGGGGCAGATAGAAAATCTCACGGGATTAAACAGGACTACAGGGTAAAGGATCGTGGTGAGGAGGGAGTGTGCAGCATACAGGGTTCAACAGGGTCAACAAACGTGTTTGTCCTCAAAACGTGCCGAGACAATCCAACACGTTTGATTTCTCTGGTTTATGATCAAAGCAGTTCTGATGACCTTCCAAGCAGTCCAAAGTGCTCTTAACACACTACACACGGAAAGAATATCTGATAACACTGCAGAAAGAGGTGGGCCTGGATCGTTGAGATGAAAAGAAATGTTACCTTTTAAAAAAACATGTTTTGAGCTTAAAAAAAGTAGGCTGGCTAAAGTGGGGAAGGCGGGGAAGATTATAAAATAGGACTCTTATGAATATGAATCACTGGGTGCTTCTTTTTCTGCTGGTTCTCTGGGCTATTCTCTCATCTTCCTTGTGTATGAATGACATGAGAGTTGCATCCTTGAACATAAATGGGGGGAGGGATCCACAGAAAAGAGCCTTGATTAAGGAAGTTTTTAGAGATAAAAAGTTGGATGTTATTTTCCTACAAGAAACACACAGTGATGCTAAAAATGAAATAGACTGGAGGCTGGGGTGGAGAGGTCAATGCTTCCTAAATCATGGCACAAACACAAGTGCAGGTGTAGCAATTTTAATTTCCCCAAAATTGACGATTAATATCATATCAGTATGGACTGTAGTGCAGGGTAGGGTCCTATGGGTCAAAGCCACACTAGAAGGCTTTAGGATAAACCTGATTAGTGTTTATGCACCCAACCAAGGGATCTGAGAGGGGATAAGTGCTTAGAAGAAGAAGAAAGTATCATTTCTATAGCGCCTCTCAAGATAGAAACCACGAGGCGCTTCACAAAAACAAAAAATGTAAAAAAAATTAAAAAGCATTTAGAAAATGGTTAAAAATGTATTTAAAATGAGCAAAAAATAGACAATTGTGATTAAAAAATGTAAAGAAAGAGAGAGAGTGAACAGGAAAGAGGGAAATCAGTGGATCCTGAGGAAGGTGGAATAGGTGGGGAGAGCAGAATAAAGAGAGAGAGGTGAAGAAGGTCATACAAAAGCCAGCTTGAACAAGTGAGTCTTCAGCTGCTTTTTAAAGGAGACCACTGAGTCCACTGATCTCAGGCTCAGGGGGAGAGAGGTCCAGAGTCTGGGGGCCACAGCAGCAAATGATCTGTCATCTTTGGTCTTTAGCCTGGTGCTGAACAACCAGTAGGCTTTGGTCACTGGACCTCAGGGACCTGCTGGGGGTGTAGGGACTAAGAAGATCACCAATGTAAGATGGTGCTTGCCCATGTAAGGCCCTATAGACCAGAACCAGGATCTTGAAATGAACCCTGAAGTTGACTGGCAGCCAGTGAAGCTGGAGGAGAAGCGGGGTGATGTGGGTGTGTTTGGAGGACTTGGTCAGAAGCCGAGCACAGGCGTTCTGAACCACCTGTAGACGGTTCAGGGAGGTTCTGCTCAGACACGTGAAAAGAGAGTTACAGTAGTCTAAGCATGAGGAGATGAAGGTGTGGAGAACTGTCTCAAGTTCAGAGCGGGACAGAATGGGACTCAGCTTAGCAATGTTCCTGAGATGGAAGAAGGAAGAGCCAACAAGAGAACTGACATGAGAATCCAGGATGAGAGCTGGGTCAAAGATC